CAAGGCTCTATCCAGGGCCCTCCTCTCTTCCTCCTCTATACTATTTTTCTTGGTAATCTCATCAGTTCCTATGGTTCTATCATCCCTATGCAGATGATTCCAATTTTTTTTTTAACGTAGCCCTAATTTCTCTTTTTTTTTGGCTAGGCAGTGAGGTTAAGTGACTTGCCCAGGGTCACACAGCTAGTAAGTGGTGTGTCTAAGGCCACATTTGAACTCAGGCCCTCTTGAATCCAGGGCCGGTGCTCTATCCACTGCATCACCTAGCTGCCCCACCTAATTTTTCTTCTGAACTCCCGACATGCATCTCCAATTGCCTATTTGAAATTTTAAACTGGATGTTCCATGAATAACTTTAACTCAACATATCCAAAACTGAACTCATTCTCTTACCATTTTTAAGTCATTAAAGAGTACTGAGTTTGGCCATTCAATTGGCCAATCAACCATCTAGCTGTCATACTGTGTAACTGCCATTTTTCTATCTTTTCAACAATATTAGTACGAGATACTTTATTACTTTGTTAAAATCTAGATAAATCAATTAAATAGGCACTTATTAATTTACCACCGGGTGCCAGGCACCATGGTAGGTGATGTCTATAATTAACTATAACTATAGCATTTCCAGATCTACCAGTTTAGTAGCCATGTCACAAAAGAAACTGTTAAATCTGACCTGTTTTCAATGAAGCCATGCTAAATTTTTGGATTCACTGCTTTCTTTTCAGAGGATCATTAACTATCTTCTTTGTTGATCAGAATTTCCCCAGAAATCAAAGTCAAGAAAGCGCACTGATCCATCAGCTACAGACTGTGAACTCTTTCCTTTTTTGAAACTCAGGATATATTCTCTTTTCTAGTCTTATAGTGCCTCTCCTTTTCCATGTTCTATCAACTATCATTAATAGTGGCTCAGCAATTATACCTACCAGTTCTTTCAGTATTCAAATTAACTTGGGCCAAGTGACTGGAATTCATCAAGGACAGCTAAGTGCTCTCTCACTATATCCTTACTTATCTTGGGTACCCACTTTCAGTTATTTTTGTTCTCCCTTTCAGAATAAGGGTAGTTCTCCTTGGCATAATAAACAGAAATCAAGTAAGAAGTGAACAACTTGCCTTTTCTGGAGTCATCATTCTAGCCCTTCTTTGATTTTCTTCTCCCAAAACAACTTCAAACAAAACAAAACTTGTCTTTGGTTTGTCTTGCTAGCTTCAGCTCATTCTGAGCCTTAGCATTCCTTATATGATTCTCGTAGAATCATGGAAAATATTTTTGTATTCCTCCTGTTTTCTCTCCTGAAAATCTGACTTGTTTGGTGTTTCTGATGCATATATATCAGTCTCTTCAGACAATTCGTTTTTCCTCCTTATAACTGTTTCATAAGATCATACACAGATTTAGAGACAGAAGAGTGCTTCGAGGTCATCTAGTACATTCTACCAATCCATTTTTCAGATGAAAAAATAGAAGTATAAAGAAGTCAAGTGACTTATACAGCAACACACAACTATTAATTGTCTGGTGAAGGATCTGAATCCAGGTCCTTTTAATTCCAAGTCCAGTGGCCTTGCTGGACCAATATACCATGCTGTCTCAGTTTCCCTCTGTATCTCAATTTCCTTCCTGCAAGTGTATTCATCCCTCTTGGACTGGCTATTCCTTCACAATATTGGTCCTTGGTATCTTACCTAGGCTTCCTCTGCATCCTCTGATCCCCTAGATCATGCCCTCTAACCATAGATGTCCTTAGGGTTCTGTCTAGGACCCTCTTCTCCCTCCATATTATTTCATTAGGTGATCTCATCAACTCTCACGGATTTAACTGCCATCTCTATGCCTATGATTCTCAAATTTACCTTTCCTATCCCAATATCTCTGCTGACCTTCAATCTCACATCTCCAACTGCCTTTCAGACATCTCAAACTGGATGTCCAGTAGACATCTTAAACTCATTATGTCCAAAATGGAACTCATTATCTTTTTTTTTTTTTGGTGAGGTAATCGGTATTAAGTGATTTGCCCAGGGTCACACAGCTAGTAAGTGTCAAGTGTCTGCTCTGAGGCCACATTTGAACTCAGGTCCTCCTGACTCCAATGCCGGAGCTTCATCTACTGTGCCACCTAGCTGCCCCCAGAATGCATTATCTTTCTCCCTAAACCCTTCCCTCCTCCTACTTTCCTTATTACTGTAGAAGACAACACCATCTTTCAGGCTGACAACCTAAGAGTCATAATGGATTCTCACTATTTCCCACCTCCCATATCCAAGATGTTGCAAGACATATCAGTTTCACTTTTGCAACATCTCTCAAATATGCCTGTTCTCTCCTCTGACCCTCTAATGCATGCCCTTATCACCTCACATCTTGATTACTGCAATAGCTGGTGGGTCTGTCTTCCTCAAGTCTTTCCCCACTCCAATCCATCCTTCACGCTGCCACTAAAGTGATTTTCCTAAAACACAGATCTGATCATGTCACCCCTCGGCCCCAACTCATTAAATTCCAATGGCTTCCTATTGTCTCCAAGAACAAACATAAAATGCCCTGCTTGGCATTCAAAGTCCTTTCATAATCCAGCCCACTACTACCTTTCCATTCTTCTTATACCTTATTCCTTGAAATGTATTCTTTGATCCACTGACTCTGGACTCTGGATGTCCCATGAACAAGGTATTCCATCTCTAGGGTCTGGGCATTTTACTGGCTGTCCTCCATGCCTAGAATGCTTTCCCTTTCCTGCTTTTGGACTATGGGTTTAAGTCCCAATTAAAATCCTATTTTCTATAGGAAGACTTCCCCAACCCCCTTCAATTCTAGTGCCTTCCCTCTCTTAACCACTCCTATTAATCTTATACATACAGGTCATTTTGAATATATTTGTTGGCATGTTGTCTTCCCCCTTAGACTGTAAGCTCCTTGTGGACTATCTTTTGCCTCATTTTTATCCCCAGTGCTTAGCACATTGTCTGGTACTCAGTGAGCACTTCATAAATATTCATTAACTAATTGACCCATTTTAATCGGCTCTTGAAAAAAATCTAGTTTGCATGTCAGACTATGTCTGACTTTCCTCTTTCTATCTCAAATTCTAGGAGGGAGTGTTCACTTCCCCGTAAGATTCCCATATCTCTACTCCCACAATTAGAACCAGATTCAGAATGGAATTTCCTCTTGTTGGTTCCACCACCTTCTGAAAGATAAGATTATCATTAAGGCAAATAAAAAGTTAAAAGCAGTTCTACATTTGGCACAGCAAAAGTTCTAGCAGATCTGGATAAATGAAATCCCACATAACTATTTTATCATGACTTGTTTCTTGAGCAACACTTGTTTATTTCCTCTTTGTCCAGGTAGTCTGTAATACTCTGATGACAAAAATTGCTTCCGTTTCTCCCTCCATTGATCTATACCCATAGGTTCTCCACCATCCCCTACTCCCCACCCCACCCCCATCTATGGATTTCCTCATGCTTATATCTTCTTAGTACACAATGCTACTAATTCCCTTGCCCTTTTAAATCTCTTTAAGTTTCTTTAGACTAAGGAACACCTACCCAGAGCCATATCCTACTCATAGGTTCTTATCCACTAAATCCCAGCAGTTTATCTTTTAGGTAAAATTTGCTTCCTAGTATTTGGACATTCAACTGATCATGTTTATTGGTAGGAACTGACAAATGACCAAAGCCTGGAAGGAAATGAGAAATCTGAAGAGGTGAGGATAGGGGAAGGTGCATTCCAGGCATGGGAAGAGTCTCTCAAAAGGCTGAGACAGCAGATGCAATGCTGAATTTGCATACAGACTAGTCAGTAGACTAGTCTGGCTAGAGCTAGAACTTAAGAGTGCATGAAGGGAATATTAAAGCCTATAAAGGCAGATTCGAGCCAGACTATGAAAGGTTTTAAATACCAAGCTAATTATTTTTATCTAATCCTGTAAGCAATAGGGAGCCACTAAAAGTTCTTGAGGAGGTGGAATGGCATGATTAGACTTGTGCTTTAGAATTATTTTGGCAGCTGTGTTGATGAATAGGAAGAACAAAGAATGTGGCAATGTATTTCAAAAACTTGTGTAACTGTCTAGGTAAGAGGTAATTGATAAGGTAGTAGAGTGCTAGCAACATGACTGGAGAGATACAAGGGATGTTGTGGGTTTGGAATTAATAAGACTTGGCAACTGACTGGATATGGGAGGTGAAGGAGAAGGAAGAGTTAATGATGACACTAAGTATATAAACCTGGCTCACTTAAAGTTATTGTTGATGTTCAACAGAAATAGTTAAGTGTGGAGAAGGAAATCACTTTAGCAAGATAATAAATTCCTCAATGGATATCTGGGACCACCTTTTAGGCATCTGCTCAAGTTACCATCACCTACGTATTCAATGAAGTGTAAGTGCTAAAATGAAAAGGGAGTTTTAAGAAATTATGGGAAAAAAAGAGTCCTACTTCATAGCTTAGTTCCAACAAAACTGATAAAACCATGCAATAAATTATGAATTATTATGGGAATGTTAGCCTTTTCAGTGATCTATACAACCAATGAGCCAACTCTGACAGTGTGGACTTGGTAAACTAGCACTCTATGTGTACAAACAAATGCTTTAAAAGTTCCAATATTATGTTTAGGACAAAACTTGAAATGCCATTCAAAAAGCACTAAGTACTTACTATGTGCTAGGAACTGTGTTAAATCCTAGGGATACAAAGTGTGTATACACATGCATATACATATATCTATACGTATGTGAAATGGGGGAGGGTAGGAGGAAGGAGAAAGGGGACGAAGAGGGTACATTCTGCTATCTCTTTCTTTACTGCTTCTGACTTACTATTCACTTAGTGTCTGAGAGAAGCTGATGTGAAAAAACCTTTGCTGTAGAACAGACTATGTACTTATCTACCATATGGACAATTACAAGCCAACAGTGGATATACCCCAAATGGGAAAATCTTAAATGTTAAAAAAAAAATTCTGAGTCAATTTTACCTGTCATTTCACACAGGGGCTCCATCAGAGATATTCCAACTCTGTCTATGGTAATAATGTGATGCTGATGGAGGTACTGCTTCAAAGCTGGATGTATAACTTTTTGGCAGACAACAATATCTACGTGATCACTAATGAGCTGATTTCCCAAATTAAGCAACTGGTCCAAGACTGCACTTTCAAGAGAAACTCCATAACTGATCACTAGGGTTCCATCTCCAGGGTCAGAAATATCTCCAGACATAGATATACAAAAGAGTGCCACCTTGAGGACATCTGAGGGTAATTTTTTGATAGGAAACTTCCTCATCAATTGAACTTCTGGCATTTCAATGACTATTCCAGGCAATACAGTAGAATTCATAACTCTTTCATCTTTTAAAGGTATGATTATACTTTTCCCCAAAATAGCATGGTCTTTAGCCTTTTCTGGAATTGTAAGCAAAAATGCCTTCAGAATCAAAGTACTGATATGATCAGCTTCTTTTTTGTTGAGCAGGCAAGCAGGCTTGCTTGTTAATATGCTTTGTACCAAACATAAGAGAGTCTTCATATTGCTAAAATCTATAGAGATTCGGCAGCCACAGGACTCAGAGTTGAGATAGTCAGTGCAGAGACTCAAAAGATGCTTACTTATTTTAATGACAGTAGCAGTTGACAAGTTTAATCTCTGAAAATTTTCAACTAAGTTAAAGCAAAGAATGGCTGTGAATAAGCCACAGTCACTAAAACGTGATACATGATTTTGCACAGAGGTTGTCAAAATCTTTAATATAGGATGGGTGACAGAAAGGTTACTGAACAAGAATGATGATGATGATGTTGTACAAATGGAACCTCCAACACCATTGTGCAGTTGCTTCAGTCTACCAGAAGGGCCATAGCAAGAGGTTACAATTTCTCTTAGTACAGAGAGAGATTTACTAATAATCTCTTTTGTCAGTAGTTCACAGGTACATAATGAAGGCTTTTTAGCTTCAACACGAGACATCTTATTTCAGGTTATATATAGGTAGTAGAGATACGTTTTATTTTCTTAATCATATTTTTCAGACAATGTATTTTCACAGATACTTTAAAGTTATACAATTAACTCATCAAGGATCTCTCAGAACATGTGGCACACCGGCCATGCAATTTGAAACAGTTTATTCTTTTGAAGTTCATTGGATCATGTTGATTGAATATCATACATCAATACTTCTACAGACACTTTTACTTAATTTCTTTGATATACTTTTCTTTGCTTTCAAATTGAGATTTGGCAGACTGTTTTGCAGCTACCTGTATAAAATATGTGCCAAGATGGACACCTATGAAAGTTAATCCAGCTACAAGGAGCCAGTTCTTTCTAATCCAGCTGGTTTGTTTCATCTCTTGATCTGATGCCAAAGTGAAATTCAAGTTCCAAAGACAATTCTTTTGGTAAGATACTTCCTTCTGTAAGAAACACAGACATAAGACAATAGGGAGTTAGACTAGGTGACCTCTAAGGTTTCTTCCCAAACTTAAAACATTCACGTATGCTTGTGTCCTCAGAATAAGTTACAAAGAACTTCCACTTGGCACAAACAGCAGCTTAGCCTCTAGAAGTTTAGAAATGTAAATTAATTTGGATTTCAAGTCCCTGTATTTTTTAAAGTTTTGAGAATAAACATTTACATTTTAATGATTTTAGAAAGTAAAACAACATGAATTATAAGTCTACAAGGGAAACCTGAATATGGTAGGTAATCTACAAATGTATTTCACCTCAAAATTAGACATGCTTTTTGGTCTAAATTTCCTCAGACGAGATATTACCAACTTTATTAAATGGGGTGTATACTTTATTTCTGTCTGTAACCAAATTCAATTTCTTTGGAAACTTGAAGTATGAATGGTGTATTTACAGCAATTATATCTTACATACAGCCATCAAAACAGAACAACTTTTGACAGTCTTAATTCTATAGTCACTATTCATTTATACTTATGCTATGTAACCCTTGCATCCTAACATATTGCAACAAAAAATATGAATAAAAATCACAACTGAATTTAAAGCAGAATTTTCCTAACAATTCTCAATTGTGATTTTCAGTTTTGAAGTCTTGTCCAAAGCGACATATCTTTAAAATCTTCAGTTCCTAATAACACATACAAAAATGCAAATAATGTGCTAGGTGGCAGAGACCAAACATAGGACCCGACTTGATCTTTGATCTCAGATTCTCTGATCTTACAAACGAAACTTTGTGAAATGCCAAATAAATGAACAAGCTGAAACAAAGGACAATTTTATTAACTACAGTAGTAAATTATATATTATGGGGAATGAAATTCCTTGAGAAGAATAAGACTATCTGATAGTTTGAAATGGTAAAGTTTGGTCCTACAATGGACTTGCCATTATAGTTTCTAGTTATTTTAGGAAATGGATTAACCTTGTGACTCTACAAAGGAAATAGTGAATTATGTCTAAATGCAACAAAGCCAGTGGCAAGAATTTTGGGGATAAGCAGAAATTAGAGTAAAGAGAAGATCTGAAGATACAGTCGCTATTATAGAAATCAATGGGGCAAAGTAAGTTAAAGGAAGTATATAGTCTTTTCTTTCAAGGACTGTTTGTAATCATGGGGAAAATCCTGTTTACCTGATAGCAGAATCTAGCTCTTCTGAGCATAAATTGCATATCTCCATGGTATGTTTAGGAATTGTCATAATTGTTTTGGCTTTGGTAAAATCAAAATAAAATATTTACTTGAAATTTTGGTTCTGAAGTGGGCCTTCTCTTCTCTTTCTACTCCCTCTCTTTTAGTTATCTCACCAGTTCCCATGGCTTCCATGATCATTTAAAACAGATAAATCCTACACCTACATATCCATTTCTAATCTCCTGAACTTCTGTCCTGAAATTTGAGATTTCCATCTGGATGCACTGTTGGCATCTCAAATCCAACATGTCCACCAAGAAAATCACAGTGTCCCCCAAACATAACATTTCTAAAAACTTCTCTTTATTGAGGGCACTGTCATCTTTTCAGGTAACAAAGTTTGCCAATCTTGAACCCATCCTTGACTTTTCCTTCTTTCTCACTCTCCATATCCTACCAGTTGCTAAGTTTTATTGATTCTACTCCACAATATCTTTCACATTTATCATTCTCTCCACTCACATATTTCTACTCTACTTCAAGCACTCATATCCTCTCTCCTATTATTGCCAACAGCTTCATAAGCGGTCTCTTTGCTTTTAGTTTCTCCCTCTCCAAACCATTCTCCTCACAGCTAGCAAACTGATATTCCTAAACCAAATATCTAATCATTGTATTCTTTTACTCAAGTCTCTGACTGCTTCTAGAATAAGATGAAAAATCCTTAGCCTGGTATCTATTAGCCTTTTATAACCCAGCTTTCACCTACCTTTCTAGTTATATCATTATTCACACACTTTCCATTCTCATCAAACTGGATTGTTGGCTGTTCCTTGAATGACATTCCAACCCTCACCTCTGCCTTTGCGCATGTGGACCCCCCAAGTACAGAACACACTTATTTGACTTAACTTAGGGATCCCTGGGAATCCCTAAGCTTCTTATAAAATACAGCTCAAGTGTCAATTCCTATGTGAAGCCTTTCCTGATATAATTGTTAATGCTTTCTCCCTTTTGAAAACACTGGTATTTACTTATCTGTGTAAGTATGTTGCATCCCTATGGTAGGAAGGAAACTGCTTGCAGGCAGTTTTCTTATCTCTGTATCCCCACTGCTTGACACAGTGCTATGCACGTAGCAAGTGCTTGAGGCATGCTCGCTGAACTGAATGTAACAATTAGGAAAACTAACTTTTATATGGCAACTTATGGTATTACAGAACATTTTCCCCACAACAATCCTGTGAAATGGATAGTGGGCAAGTACTACTGGCATCATTATATAAAGAAATCTGAACCTATGTCTTTAGGGCAGCTAGGTGGCACAGCAGATAAGTGTATCTGGCCTGGAGTCAGGAAGACTCATCTTCCTGCATTCAAAACCGGCCTCAGACACTTACTAGCTGTCTGACCCTGGGCATGTTACCTAACGCCATTTGCTTCGGTTCCTCACCTGTAACATAAACTGAAGAAGGAAATGGTAAACCACTCCAGTATTTTTGCCAAGAAAACCCTAAATGGGGTCATGATTGAAAAACAATTTCTGATTACAAAATATGTACCCCTTCTACTATACTATGCTGCTCCTCAATGTAACACAAAGCCTCTTGGTACCCACTTTCAACTCAGGAATCTGGCTGATAGGAAAATTAGGGACTGACTTGGAAATTTTAGTTGTCCAAATAAAATTTTAAAATAAAGTAGTAATTCTTGTTTCAAAATGGAATTCTGAGTTCTTTAAAGAATTTCTCTCTTTATCTCCAGTCTCATATCTCAAACTGCCTATCCAACATTTCAAATGGTTGTCCTACAGACATCTTAAATTCAACATGTCCAAAATGGGATTCATTACCTTTTCCCCAAATACTTGCCTCTTCCGAATACCCCTATTACCGTGGAGGGTAACACCATGCTCCCAGACAGCTGGGCTCACAACAATGGTAACAGACCACTCCTCATTTTCTCTCATCCTACATGTCCAATCTGTTGCCAATTCCTGTCCATTCTACCTCTGAATTATCTCTTGTATACAACCCCTTCTGAATTCCTTTGAAACTGCCATCACCCTCATGCAGGCCCTCCTCACCTTATGTGCCAACTACTGCAATAGCCTGCTACTGGCCTACCTGCTACAAGTTTCTCCCACTCCAGTCCACCCTCCACTTAGCTATCAAAGTGATCCTAAAGCACAAGTCTGTCCATATTACACACCTATTCAATAAACTTTAGTGGCTCCTGTTACCTGCAGGATCAAATATGAAATCCTATCTTTGGCTTTCAAAGCCCTTATAACCTGGCATTTTTCTACCCTTCCTTGTGTTCTTCCACTTTACTCCCCTCCATGGACTCAGTGATCCAGTGACAGTGGCCTCTTTGTTGTTCCTCAGACAAGGCAAGGCATTTTCACTGACTGTCCTCATGCTTGGAATTTTCTCCCTCCTCACCCCTGCCTCTTCAGTTCCTTCAAGTCTCAGCTAAAATCTCACCTTCTGCAAAAAAGTTTCCTAGCTCTCCTTAATGCCAACATTTTCCCTTGGATTATCTCTCATTTATCCTGTGTATATCTTGTTTTTACATAGTTATTTGCATGTTGTCTTCACCTTTAGACTTTAAGCTTCCTGAGAGTAGGGACTATTTTTGGGGGGGGGGAAGGGGGGAGGAGGGTTATATCCCCAGTGCTTAGCACAGTGCCTAGCAAGTTGTTATTCAGTCATTTTTCAGTCTTGTCCAATTCTTTGTGACCTCATTTTGGAGTTTCCTTGGCAGAAACACTACAGTGACTTGCCATTTCCTTCTTTACAACTCACTTTACAGATGAGGAAGCTGTGACAAAACAGGGTGAAGTGACTTGTAAAGGGTCACAAAGCTAGCAAACACCTGAGGCCAGATTTAAACTTGGGGAGATGAGTCTTCCTGACTCCAGGTCTGGCACTCTATCCACTGTACCACCTAGCTGCCCCACCTAGCACACAGTAAGTGTCCAGTAAATTCTTGTTGATTTGATTTAAATCTCCCTGAAATTGTGCTATATAGTAGTTACTCTCTTGCAATTCTTATCTCTATGATTTTCCAATCTGCCTTTATGGCATCACTTTTTCAAAAGTGCTGATGAATAACAAAATGATCCCAGATGAAGAGTAGCCTATGTGGTTTGGTTTACTCTGGAAAAACAGACTCAAGATCTTAAAAAATGAAACTGCAGCTATGCCTGATTCAATATACTATTCCAACCGCTTTAACTCTCCATTTTCACATACACACAGTTGTATAGCACACAAAAAATTATATAAAAATCTGCCAGTGTTTCAATTAAAAACAGATGATTTACCCAAGTTTTTCTTTACACATTCTCTCTTTTCTTTTTTAAAAAGTGAAAGTTTCTCATTAGTACATATTCTTTCAGTTGCTATGGCTAAATCACTTACCTAAACATTGCATGATTGCTATTTGACTTGGTTTTGGTTCTTCTGTGGAATCATATGTGTCACAATTCCAGGTTCTGGAATACTGTCCTTGTTACCATTAGCAGTTTGGAAAATTGGATTGTTCTTAATGCTCTTCCACCCTATGTGAATCAGTCCGATAGAAGGTATCATAACAAGAAGAACTTTGTAGTCTCTCCAAAAGGTCTTAAGACTCATAGTAACTTTGGCAACAATGTACCTATATAAAAAGTTAATTATTTTAAATAATATCCTCCCCAAATTGCTTTTGTAAACTACAAAAAGAAATAGCACTGCTCAAAACAGTAAAATCTGAATGTCAAACATCTTTAATTACTGTGTGCCATACCATTAATTAACAAAAAGGAATATGTACAGGCAGAAAGCAGAAGCAGGAAGCTTGGCAAACTTATAAAGTAATACTTCAAAATAACTTCTGTTCAGCTTTCATTAAAGAACATTAATTATTATACCTGCTAGGAAAATTATAATATCAACCTTAGGAAACAGATTTACAAAGAGAACTCATTTTATTTAGATGACTATAACTATGTTTCTGAGTCATATTGAAGTTGATACTGATAACTTAGATAAATCTTTAACAAAAAGTAATCTTCTGACTACTAAAATTGATTACGCGTTTATTATTTGGGCTCTGCAGTAAAGAAATAGGAAACTTATGAGACAATCCAAAAGTAAGCAATGACAAAAACTAAAGGTTTAGAAAAAAGACCTCATAATGAAAGGCCAAAGGAATTAGGGTTAATTGGCCTAAAGAAAACAAGTTTGCATAAATATTTATGGTATTAAAAAATATGGAAGGATTTTGTTTATATGAACTACTGTGTTTCCACTGTGATCAGGGCAACAAGAAATAGGCTTGAACTTATAGCAGCAGAATTGTTTAGATGTTTAAAATAATTTTTGTATTATAAAGACTGAGACAAATCATTAAAGGATGTTGTAGAATATCGTGCATATGAGGCTCTCATTTTTTTTTCATCCATTAACTCACTCATTTAATCAGACAGGATTTCTAAAGTAATAAAAGACAACTCTTCCTAGGTACATGTAGGGACTATCTTGCCCTATAAGCTAGTGGAATAGTTGAGATTAGCAGGTCTCAAATGTTTTGGTCTTAGAACCAGTCTTTGGGCCCCTTTATGCTATTAAAAATTACTGAAGAACCCCCAAAGAGCTTCTGCTTATGTGGGTTGTCTTCTTTCATACTGGAAATGAAAAATATTTTAGCATTACTATGAAAATAGTCATGACTTTGCAAATTCCCCTGAAAGGGTCTCAGTGACCACCTCCCCCCACCCCTGCCCCCACTGCCCCCAGACCACACTGAGACCCGCTGGCCTAGATGATCTTAAAAGATTTTGCTTTGTAGTTGTATAAACAAAAGTTTCTTTCAGGTTCTGTAAATTCTAAAGGCTGAATGGCTCATTGGCCAGGTAGCAGGATGAGAAGCAATCCACCTCAAGCTGTTTTTTAACTAAGTAAATATTCACTATTTAGTGTCTACATAAAAAATGCTGAAGTTTGGTTAAGATCATAATAGACTAGTTTCTGTATCAAAAAAAAAATTCTTATATTTTGTTGGCATTGTCATTAGAAAAGCTTAGAGGGTACCAAGTTATCTCTTTTTTTCTAAACTAAAGTTTAACTGTATAAGCAGTTTCCCTAGTAGTTTTTAATCATTTCCTATTCTGAAACACTTTGCTAGAGATGGGCTGAAGTTTTAATAAATGTTTAAACACATTATTTGTGAAGTCTCAAAACTTTCCTCTACAAGCTCTAAATTCCATTTCTGCAATTACTGTTGTTAAATTTAACTAAGCTATTAGTTAAGTTCTGCTGTCCTAAAATTCCCGTGGTATCTCTTTGTGCATTAGCTTATAACAATTCTTTGTTTGAAACTGACTGGCTGCTTCTGTTTCACCTCTGAGACAAGCTAGAGTCTGTATTCCTTTTGCCAACACTTGACCTATGTGAGATTAATAATATCGCAGGGAGAGTAAGAGAAGCTCTCTGGATTATCTATGTAAATGGAGAATGAAGCCATGGACTACTTAACAAAAGCAAATTTCCCCCCAAAACAGTCAGGTTCTTATGTTTTCCACATACTTTGTCTACAAAAGATCTGATTTTGCTAATGACTATTACTCTTCATTATGTCCAACTTCAACTTCCTCAATATTTTAGACAATACTGTCAGCTCTTTGACATCTTATGTATCTTCAATTCATCTAAATCTATGCAAGTCACAGCATATTTGAATAATGTCAAATTACTTTCTAAATTCAGTCTTTCCTCTATCCACCCTTTTCAACCTGCATTACCTCAGTACCTGTCATCTTTTGCTTAGAAAACAGATAATTATTTTCTGCTAGCTCTCTCTAATGTCCTTTGTAAGCTTTGGATGACAGCTGATTCTATTTTTCATGGTATTTTATACTTTTAAAGGCAATTTGTTCATGCTATTTCACTTAATCTTCATAATAACCCTAAGGAGTTTACTCATGGTAAAGAGAAATATGACCTTTATTCTAAACAATAAGGTAGAAGCAAATAGCCATTTTTGAAAGAATAATTTAAAAAAACCTATTCATACTCCATTACTTAATGAATTTTTACTACTTTTCACAGTGTCTTTCACATTTCAATAGGAAATAGAAGAAAAAGAATGGTTTCTACCCATTTCCCCATTAATATTACGCCATCTATGAAAGGCTCAAAAGTGTTATACAGGGTGTTCCAATTCAGATCAGCAACAACTTAGCAAATCACAGTCACAGAGTTTAATGGGGGCATTGAGGGGTTAAGTAAATCACCCAGGTCTGCCTGAATTAAAGTTGGCCAAACTGCATCTGCTTTGCATTCAAAATATTAATTTCATTACTCTCATTTAATCTTCAGAATAACTGGGCAAGTATCTCCTATTTATTACATTATTCCTCCCCCACTCATCCCAACTGTTATTTCATTTTTGCGGGGTTTGGGTTTGGTCTGTATTCAAGACAACATTGTCAGACTGAATTGTGACTGGACCCTAGTCCTCCAGATTTCAAGGCAAGGCTTTTCCCACTAAACTTATCCAGAGTCAAAAGTCTGAATATTGGTCCTTACTATTATACCCTAATTTGTACAAGAGATCAAAGAAAAGGGGGAAAACATCTATTCATACAAAAATATTTATAGCTCTTTTTGTGGTGGCAAAGAATTGGAAATTAAGGGAATGCCCATCAATTCAGGAATGGCTGAACAAGTTGTGATATATAATTTTAATGGAATACTACTGTACTATGAGAAAGGATGAAGGGGGTGGTTTCAGAAAAACCTAGAAAGACTTATATGAACTGAAATAAAGTGAAGTAAGCAGAACCAGATTATACATAGTAACAGCAATAATGATGATCAACTGTGAAAGACTTAGCTACTCTGGTGAAGAAAATGATCCAAGACAATTAATTCCAAAGGACCCATGATAAAAAATGCTAACCAGCTCCAGACAACTAATGAATTCTTAGTGCAGATTGAAACATACTTTTTTTTAAACTTTATTTTTCTTGTTTTTTTTTAATGTGCATTTTCTTTTGCAACATGGCTAATATGGAAATATTTTACATGACTTCACATATATAATTGATATACTGCTTGCCTTTTTAAAGGGTAAGAGAGGGGGGCAGGATGGAGGCAGGGAAATTAGAACTCCAAATTTTTAAAACTGTTAATTTTTATATGTATTTTGGAAATATTTAGTGAAATAAAAATATATTTAAAAAAAAACTGGTAGTTACTAAAATACTTAGGCAGATGATTAAAGAACACTCAGATCGTAGCTTTGACAGGCAAGAAACTATGGAAAAAAGCTTAACAAATCTAGGGATTGACATCTGACATGAGTTCCCTTTTTCACTTGATCCTCTTTTATCGCTGATATATAAGAGATTGGCTAATGGTGATCCACAAATGAGTTCCACAATTTTTAAGCCTAGGTCAGTGGGCCTATTTAATTTATGGTCTACTAGCGGATATTATCTTGGATCCTGTGTCTTTTGTTCTGCTGATATTAGGTTAAATAATACAGCTGAACTAGTTTTAATTTTCTTTAGCCTATTATTTAGTTCACTTACTCAGTGAACTTAGCTTAAGTCAGGGACTCAATGTTATTTCTCTCTCATTTCAATCACCTCATTTCAGCTTTTAATTCATATTCTTTTGAATGTGATGTCCATTAGAGGAAAACACTAGATCATAATTACTCTTTTAAAAACAACCATGACTATAGGAATCCCTTTTCCCATCTGTATTTATTACCTAGATTCCCCCTTCTTCCAATCATCATCTGTGGCTGTGACCTCTAAAGTGGAGCACCTCAATCAACCATATTTGGAATAATGCGAAGACTACTTGGAGATTCAAAGGATAGCAAATGCAAGCAGAAAAGTTCCTAATTGGCTATGAAATTACTTCAAGTGCAATTTTATACAATATTCATGACCCATGAAAGCCAAAACTGTCTCTTTATTTAGTGAAATACATCATGGTGTTTAAAATAAACTTAGAAGACTTCTGGGTTAACAAGATGGAAGAAGACTAAACATTTTCTCTAATCCATAGGGCCTCTCAAACCTCTGGCAAATAGAAATTATGCACAGATATGGTCGCAAATATGGACACATGTGTATATGTACATACACAATATACATGCATACTTTGTGTATACACACACATGCATATATATATATATATATATTCAGTATATATGTGAGTTTGGGCCGTGTGTGTATACATATCTACATATATTTGATCTATCTGGCTGCTTTTCCTATTTTGGTTCTCTTTAGTGTCATTTTTATTTGGTTTCCTGGTTAAATTTAGCAATTCCATTGACAAACAGCAAATTCTTCAAGTGATCAGGAGCAACATCCTCAAATGTAAGGGAAAGAAAATTTGAATAGTACAAGACCATTCTGTACTACGGACAGTGGAAGTGATGCAGTGGACAAAGTGTTGGGCCTGGAGTGTGGAAGACTGCCCTCGCTGAGTTCAAATATGATCTCAGACACTTACTAGCTGTGTGATCCTAGGCAAGTCACTTAACCTGTTTGCCTCAGTTTCCTCAACAGTAAGTAAAACAGACTGGAGAAGGAAATGGTAAACCACTCCAATATTTTTGCCAGGAAAACCCCTCAGAGTCAGACACAACTGAACAACAATAAATTTCTGGACCCATCGGAAAATGCAGAAAGGAATGGAATGCATTCCAAAGAGCAAATAAGCTAAAAATGTATTTCAAGGTGGCATACCTTAAAATAAATCAACTATGATGGTCCAGCTGGCCCTTCAATATCCTACCTACATAAAATGGAAAGCAAAGCATTTTCAGGGTATAGAGTTTATGGGATTTCCTACCTGCTCTAGTTAAGCTGAGATGTCCAACTGCTCCCCTTTAGAATAAAATACAAAACAAACTTTAAGACACTTATATTTATTTCTGCTTCTACTTTAATTCAATGGATATTTTGATCAAGATATTCTCTTACTCTTGTACTTGAGATGATTTAATTGTGAAGAGACCAATTTTTAAAATGTTAACAAACTGATCCTTTATTTTTTTAATGTGATGCCAGGTTTCAGTTATTTTCGATCTTAATTTTCTTGAATTTCGTTTGTTGACATTCTTTCTGGTCACATATTTTTTAAATAGCAATTGAGATGGGACCTAGTTTTTTGTTTGTAAACCAAAAAAGGACTGAGTTATCTTTATTTCTGAAACTTAACACTATATTAGAACTAATTAAACTAACTTCAGCTTTGTTAATTAGTCTACCAACTTGCAAACACCTAAGTGTGACTGGAGATCTTCACTACTCAGTCAAATCCTAGCATTCCTTTCTACAAGCATACTCTTCTCTTTTGCAATTTTCCTTATTGTTACACAGCCACTCTCCGGGCTTTCAATAGTAGGGCTAAGCCAAGAAATAGCTCATACTGGACACAGAAAGGTGGAATTACAAATCATATTAAAGTACTAACCATATTTTTTAAGTTACTTTTGTAAAGGTAACATGGCAAATAGAAGGAATACTGGATTTGGTGTCTGAGGAGCTTGTTTGAGTCTCTCTTTGCCAACTTCCACCTTAATTAAACAAGTTAGTCTTTCTGAGTCTTAGTTTCTCATTTGTAAAATATGTGGGCTGGACTGGATGACCTTTAAGATTCCTATAACTCTAAATCTGTGATCTTCTAATCCTATTGGCCTTTTCAGTACTGTAGATAATCAAAGAAGATGCATTTACAAATTTAAAAAATAATACCAATTAGTGAAAACAGCCCATTTCTGCAAATGTATTAATCTATTACTGAGAGATTTTTTTCTCACTAAACAAATTTACATGTTTCATCATTATAGCTCTTTTTTGCCCCTTTCTGAGAATTATTTAAAAGTGACTGATGTGTTTTGGAATAAATGGGGGCTGGGGGAGGGTGTATGATTATATAACAACCCGAATTATGCATATATAAAAACTTGCTGGCTCTTAAGCAGAAAGGAGACAGTTGAAGGTGACTTAGGAAGTAACAGTGATTTAAGGAATAGATTAAACTATTGGATCTAAAAATAGATCCAAACACCTTGGTCACCAACAAAAGCACTTAATAAATGTTTGTTGATTGATTGAGCTAGTGCAGGAGTTCTTAACTTGAGGTCTGTGACTTTGGATGGGGAAAAAAATAATTTTTATTTCAAAATAATTAGTTTCTTTGCAATCTTATGTATTTTGTTTTATGCATTTTGAAACATTCTTCTTAGAAGGGGTACACAGACTTCACTAAAATGCCAAAGGACACACATAAAAAGTTAAGAACTCCTAGTCTAAGGACTGATCCTGTGGAGTGAAGCTACAGAAGATACTGAGGGACCTACTCTAATTCAATGTGGCCTAAATTAATTTCTAGTCTAGAAGTCCTCTAGGCTTTGGGGGCATTTCAGGGTCTACACTATGGTAGGACCTGGGATTTTTATCACAACCACAGAATATTTTCATGAGTGTGGTCCTCAACCTCAGAATTAGCAACCTGTGACATAACCCTTCAAATTCACTCCAGATTGAAGTAGATTCCAAAACTGTCTTGGGCCTAGGTTAAATGGATTATTTTTTTTAGAGAAGAGATTTGAGTATTACCTGTCACTATAGACTATCAGCTTGAGAAAAAGTGTCAATAATCAACAGAAGATATATGGGACCAAATGAGCAGTTCCTAAATAATTATAATTAGCTAACCTTTAGATAATACCTTAAGATTTACAAAGCACTTTACACGTGCTCTCTCACTTGGTCTTCCTTATATAAAGCAAGTTCTATTATCCCTATTTTACAGATTAGGAAACTGAGATTCAGAAAAGTTAAGTGACTTACTCAGACTGACAGAGCTAGTTGTCTGAAGCAGGATTTGACTTTACTTCTTCCTGTTTCCAAATTCAGCATTCTACTACACCAACTAGCTTGCCACAAGGCAGCAAACAATTCCTAATCTCTTAAAATTTTCAATACCCTAATAATGCCAGGGAAATCGTACATGTGGTCCGTTTCGTACCAGACGTCCTCCAAAAGTGTAGTTTATATTTACACACCAGAGATTCACAACATGCCTCAATTATAACATATAATTTATTAAAAATTGGTTTTACCTTAGACACTATTATCAAAGTATAAGGACATAATTCAAAAACTCTGCTTCCAGAGTTTTGGACAGAAAGCATTATATATAAGACTGTGGTAAACTACTTTTGTTTTGAGAATTCCAAAACAACCCAAGTGACAATAAATAATCTTAGCTCGACAAAAAAAGGAGTGGTAGGAATTGCTGCTGAGACTAAGAGAATTCCATATAAGTGAACTGAGTCCCCTACCCTAAACAGAGAATTTGAACATTGGAAGAATAAAAGATGGATACGTATAATATCTTCTGAGTTCTTTAGCCACATACCCAGCTTACAGTAGGTGGCCTGGTCACTGAACTTGAAGTTGAGTGTAAGTCAAGGTGAGAGAATAAGAGATCTAATCCTCAGGCAAGACTGCTAAAGAAAGGCAACAAAAAAGGAAGAATCCATAACATGTTACTTGTAACATGTTACTTTCGTATGTTTTTGCCATAAAAGTTGAGATTTATTTGGGTTTCTGAACAATTTAATGCTAGAATCCTAGTATGAAAAAATAAAGGCAACTCTGAACATTTTCAGATTGTGTCTACTCATCACAAATATGAACGTAACACTATGAATATAACGAGGTTTCCTTTTTGACAGGCATTTTATGATGTCTACCAAAGCTTCCCTAAGCTGTCAGCATTCAATATTCCCACTACATGGTGAAAGAAAGGAAAGAAAGAAAGGAAGAAAGAAAAAAGGAAAGAAAGAAAGGAAGAAAGAAAGAAAGAAACCATCACTGCCCTGGGCCTCAATTTCTTTATCTATAAACTAAGGGGATTAAACTCAGTGAACTTTAAGGGGCCTTCAACCTCTAACATTGTATGACTATGAAAATATTTGTTTGTCTTTGTAAAATGGCTCAAAGAGAGACCTCCTGTCACTTTTTGGTCTTTTGGTTAAATGTGAATGAATGAAAAAGAATTAATAACTTAGACCCTTTTCTTGTAGATTGCATTTAGTGACAGGTCTACCAATTTTCAATTTAAAATTCTGCAAATTCCTTTTGAAAATTCAGAAAAAAAACCACCTTTACCCAAATGTTTTGATTTGAAACTAAAATTATCAATTTTCAAATTAACAATTCTCCTGTTTCCTTCCCCATTTCTTCCCACCTCCAGTCATACCATATGATTTAGAGTCTACAACACAATTAGCAACCACAATTTCCTATAATAAAACGTGGTATCTTTTCTAGGGATCCTTAAAAACAAGACATACATCTGAAATACAAATTCTTTTGTGGTTGGTAGACATTATGGGTCTTAACTGTGTGGCCTCTGAATGCATTTCTCATTGCTATAACAACTATATTAATTTGAGATGCTTAATGATCAGTTTAATTTGTCCTCTTGCTTTGATTATCCTGGTCTATGTAAGCAATAGAGTTTATAGCTTCAAAAAGTGCAAAATAGTTCAGAAAAATTGGCAACACCAGCTGTAAAAATAGTCCTACAAGACTGATCAATTTCAAAGCAAGTAATTTCCTTCTAAGACGTTCCTCCTTGCCCACACAAAAAGTGATATACAGGGTATACTGCTAAGGAGTAGGGTTAGTTCCAATATATGGGGTTACCTCTCCTAAAACGCAATATATTTAAAAAGTAAAATGTATGTGTAATCAAAATGAAAATTAACATACAATTACATAGTTCAGCCTTATTTAAGTCACATTTTGGGGGTGGGGTGAGGTCTCTCTTTGAATTTCCCACAGGAAATTGAGCAAGGTAGCTCAATAAATTTGTTGAATAAATGAAGGAACTTTACTTTCCCCTCAGTCCTTAATTTCACTTATATATCACAATTCTTGGGACTTAAAGAAAGGAGTTCCTTAGCAAAACTGATCTGGAAAATCAGCAGCAGACACAGGAATGTGGGGTTCAGTTCCTGTTTTGACACACAACTCAAATTTACTTGCTTATAGTGTCATTCTTATCATGCTCTAAAACCATTTTGATGCACAGCTTCAAGGTTGAGCATGACCTCAAATCTCTGGCAGTATGAGACACCTCCAAACTAGAAGGAACCTTGAAGTACAGGGAAACCAAAAGGACCTGAGTTCAAATGCGGCATCTTACAATTTCCGTGTGACCTTGGGCAAATCACTTAACCTTCTTGGAACTCAGTTTCCTCATCTGTAAAATAACAGTTTTGAACTAAATTGCTGTTATTAAGAGCTAGGAGGGCCTTCTTGAATGTTTATCAATTAACTCCCAACGCAGAGAGGTAGTACAGCATCAGACCCACTCAGCGTCCTAGCCTCGGCACACTTGGCCATGCAGGTATCACACAGAGATTAAGCATTGCTGGAGACTGCGGGGGAACTTCCGGCGAGGCCCGCGGCCCCGCCCCTCCCTCCTCCCGGCATCCTTCAGTCCCGGCCAGGACCCCGGCGACCTTCACCCAGAAGCCCCAAGGAGCCGGGCCTAGCCACTGCGCAGGGAAAGCAACTCTGGCCTCTTCCCAGCTCCCAGACCCCGACTCCCTACTTTTTTCTCTCTCTTTCTCTCTTCTTCTCTCACCTGCCCACCCGCCGCTCCGCCTCCGGAGGCCGCTGGTCCGACACCTGGCTGAGGAGGAGGAAGCCCGCCTTCCGACGTCTGCAGCAGGTGATAGTCGCCTGCGACTGAGCATGCGCCCCTTCCCGCGTGCTGGCTCCGCCCCCTGGTCATCTGGTCCTGGATGGGATAATTCCAGTCTCCGTGTTTTACCCAGGAGCGCCTCGAAGGTTGCCTAACTCTTCTGAGACAGTCCAGTAACCTGACCTTGAGAAAAGCTTAAAGAGAATGGGAATCCATGGACTGGATTATACTCGCAGGGATTCTTTGAAAACAGATTCTTTTTATTTATTTTATTTTATTTTTTTCTAGGCAGTGGAGTTAGTGACTTGCCCAGGGTCACACAGTAGGTGAACAGATTCTTTTTAAATGGAAGAAGTGAGGAAATCAGCAGCCCCAGGATGAGAAGTCCCTGATAAAACAGATTAAGATGTCAGAAAATACCACCTATGCCCAGGTGTCTCAGACTGTTCACACTAGGCAAAGCAGTCGTTGAACTAGCATTTATTAACTGCTTACTATTTGCTAGGCACTGTGCTAATTGTTAGGGATATAAAGAAAGGTGAACAGTCCCTTACCTCTAGGATCTCACATTCTAATAGAGAAGATACTAAATACATCTAGAGGGAGGGAGGTATGTTCATATAGCTCTCTGTATAGGTATAGTGTGTTGACATACACACTAGCTTTTAAGATTAAAGGTTTTTGAAACCTTATACATGTGTGTATGCATGTCTATTTAATGTGTGCCTATAACAGCTACATGTATAGACACAAATACAACATATTTGCATGTGTAACTGTGCAAACATATACACAGTCTGCTAGGTGGCACAATGAATAGGTGTGGAGTGAATTCAAGACCTGAATTCAAATTTTGCTTAAGGCATTTTTTAGCTATGTAACCTGCTGATACATACAGAGTGGATGAAAGGCAATCCCAGAAGGGAAGACGGAAGCAAGTGAGGAGACAAGACATTTTGCCAAAGAAGGTGGGACTTCAGCTATAGATATAGATAGATAGACACGTAATATCCATATCTATATACACTTTTTTGTATATGTGTGTGGGCAGGTAGGTGTTGCCAGTGAAGACTCATCATTCTGAGTTCAAATGTGACCTCAGACACTTACTAGCTGTGTGACCCTGGGCAAGTCACTTAACCCTGTTTGCTTGAGTTTTCTGATCTGTAAAAGGAGCTGGAGGACATGACAGACTACTCCAGTATTTTTGCCAAGTATACCCCCAAATGGAGTCACAAAGTCGGAAATGACTGAACAACAAAAAAAGGGTATATATGCACATACACACGTGTATGTGTGTGTGGAGAGACAGACGGACAAGTGGAAACATATTAGAAGGAAATTGCTTGCTTTAAAATTGACCATACTTGTAGGACTGTTTTTACAGCTCTTGTGGCTAATTTTTCTGAACCATTTTGCACTTTTTTGAAAGCCATATGTGTATGTGTGTAGACGCCTCATTCAGATATATATGTATATATTCTCCTTCATATATATGTGCGTATATATCTACATACACACACATACATAGTATATCTGATCAAGGTTGAGAAATCCCAGGGCTACTCCAATCCCTCGGCTTCCTCGAAAATCCGGAGTAATGGAACCTGAGGTAGAAATCCCCTGAAAACTTGGTCAAAAAGGGCTTTGTATGTCCAGTTTAACCGGGCTGGTTTCAGGCCCTTGCAATCAACTCTTTCTGCTCACATCTTAGGGGACTTAATGGAAGGACCTTTTAAAATGGTGCCTTTGACTTCATGCCGCTTATGTTCACAGGCTATTTCCTTTCCCCTGCCACTTGGGCATTATTGTACCATTTTTGTCCTCCCCGCTGGTAATGGTCCTATTTTTAAAAAAGTATATATTCCGTATTTTATCAGGCCTTCCTTTATTTCTTAGCAGTCTGTGACTGAGGATATTTTAAATTCCTGCACCCCTCGTTTTCTCACGTTCAGGGAGTTCTCATAATGCATGGGGACAAGGTAACGCCACTTAATTCGGTCTAGACCAAGAAGATTATTACCGATTGTAATCGCAAAGCTAGCCGGCAGCAAACCACGTGACCGAGTGCGGGGGGCGGTACCTGCCTGCCCCCCGGAGAGCGCAGGCGCCATTTTCGCCATCTTTGTTTTGGTTTATCATTGGACCCGTTGCTTCGGCTTCCATGATTAGTATGGGCGACGGTGATAAAATAAAGATCCGCCCTTTACGACAGGGTTTGGAGCCCATTTTCTTTTTGGGCAGAGTACCCCGTAGAGCTAAGGGAGGTTTCGCTTTCCGTCGCCATGTTAAGTTCAGGCAACGGCTTCAGAGGTCAGTGGTGCTCTAGTCCTGGGATCACCTGAGATCGAGACCAAACTTTGCTCCCTCGACCAGAGGGCCGGGCTAGCGAGGCTGAGGCGCGGACCATCCCAGTCACTAAGAGGTTCGGTTGGGAGTCAGGTGCTTCTCCAATTTGGGCTTTCACAGCCAAGTACTAAATGAATGGGGGGGGAAGGTAAAAGCTATTTCACCCCCCCTTCCCCTCCCTTCCCCCCACTTTCCTCCACCTTCCTAGGTAAGAAGTTTCTGCTTTGTACGTCACACCGTTTTGCCGCCCCAGGGCTTTGCTCTCACTCCTACTATCGCTAACGGTGGCCCCTGGTGGATGGGTGTGGTTAGACCTACCAAAGACTCTCTTTCCCTAACCCTACTTTAGCTTCTGGTGATGAGATGCCTGACCCACTAATTCAGGAGTAAGAGCTGGCCTCGAGGAGGCTGACAGAAAAGAAGGGAACACAAACATTTATTTAGCACTAACTATGTACTAGGGCTTGTAATAAGCACTTTAGAAGTATTGTCTTATTTGATCCTAATAGCATCCCTGGGAGGTAAGTCCTGTTATTATCATCCCCATTTTACAGTTGAGGAAACTGAGGCAGATAGGTTAAGTGACTTGTCCAGGGTCACACAGCTAGTAAGTGCGGGAGGCTGAATATTCTTATCCAGGGCTTTATCTCCTGTGCCACCGGTGTGGAGGAAATAAGGAGAAAGGTTGGCCTCAGTTGTGGAGGCTACCTTATTTTTTAGACAAAAGCTGCTGGGTCCTCTGCCCTCCAAAGACCTCTAGGTGAAGGCCCAGGATGGTAATACATTTTTAACGTCCAAGAACATCTCACTGCCTTATTTCCAAATGTGTTCTGATCGAGGAGCTTCTGGAAGTAGTTCTTAGGCTTTTTCTTTTTTTTCATAGCTAGGCTTTTTGATGAGGATTGTAAAAAACCTTTGCTGAAACTGGCTTTTTACCTTACCTGTAATGCCTGGTAGGCGCTTAATAGATGTTTATTGACTGACTGAATATACTAGGATGTATGCCCATTAACCTTAAAATTGGAGTGCGCACTCACATCTCAAATTTTAGTTTGGTTTATTGCAGCCCTGGCTAGCTTGTCTCTCCAGCTACTCTGGCTCCCTGCGCCATCCCCATTCCTTGCCCACCCCCATTGTTTGCCTCCGGATAATTAGAGGATATTAAAGCTAAGATTGAATGGGAGCCTGAGCCATTAACTTAGTGTCTGGAAAACTCCTCTAATGGGTGCACAAGTGTAATTTCTATTAAGATAATACTACCTGTAGCTATACATGCAAGTGTATTCTGCCTAAATATTTCCTACTTAGGGGCTGCTGTAAACACAGGTTGTGTTTATATAGGTAGTCCAACCATTTTGGCAGTAAAGGGGGCTAAATAATTGATTTCCTTGATTTTCTTGAAAACTCATGTAAACTAAAAATGGCATTTAATCTCTAGATTGTACAGTGTTTCTTAACCTTTTTTTTTTTTGTAATGTGGACCCCTTTGGCAGTCTGATGAGGGTTTTGACCTGTTTTCAGAATAATTTTTTAAGTGCATAAAATAAAATGTATAGGATTATAATGGAATCCAATTATATTGAACAAAATTTTCTCTCATTTTCTCTCTGTTTTTCTCTTTCTTAAACCCCTTCCCACCCCTCCTCCCAGTTAAGAACCCCTGCTGTGGAGCTCACTTTCCTTATGTAAAAAATTAGGGGGCTGAACTAAATGACCTCTAAGAGCTCTTACAGTTCTGTTATTCTATGGAGCAGATTCTCTTTGCATAAATATACACCTGCCTACAGTTCTTGGCCTATGGACTTATTGCTATTATGCTGGAGAAGCAACATGGTATAGTAGATTGATATTGAATAGTTTTGAAGGGGTATAGTTTAGTGAATGAATGAATAAATAAAATTAAAGCATTGACTATGTTCTAAGTGCTGGGGATGCAGATACAAAAGGAAAGAGTATTTGTGCTCTTAAGGAATTTGAATTTTAATATTCAGTTTTGACCCCTTTTGAGGTTTTCTTGGCAAAGATACTGGAATGGTTTGCCATTTCCTTCTCCAGTTCGTTTTACAGATAAGGAAACTGAGGCAAACGGGTAAGTGATTTGCCCAGGGTAACACAGCTAGTGTCTGAAGTCAGATTTGAATTCGGAGAGATGAGCCTTTCTGACTCCAGGCCTGGTACTCCATCCACTGTACCACCTAGCTGCCCTTGAACAACAACAACAGTAAAAAATCAGGGATAATCTCAGAAGGAAGGCATAAAGGTTAAGGAGGACCAGAGAAGGCTTCTTGCAGATGATGGAATTTTAACTGATACTTGAAGGAAGCCAGGGAAGCAGGAAAACAGAGATGAGGAGAGAGACCATTCCAGGCATGGGGGCAAAATTCAGCCAGTGAAAACATGGGGTTGGGAGATGGAGATGGTATCCTGTTTGAGAAATATCAAAGAAGTCAGTGTCACATAATGACTGAGTAATGTGAAGGGGAGTAAGATGTAAGAAAACTAGAAAGATAGGAAGGGGCCAAGTTACAAAATACTTTGAAAGCTAAACAGAAGATTTTGTATTTGATCCTGGAGGTAATAGGGAGCCAGTGGAGTTTTATTGGAAGAGAGGGGTGATTAGCAAGATCAATTTGACAGCTGAGTGGAGGATGGATTGGGGTAGAGAGAGACTTGAGGCAGGCAGA